CCCCAAAACCCCAAAACCCCAAAACCCCATAATGCCAAAATAATAGGGCATGTTAGAAGGATTTAAATAAAAAATAATTAAGTTTGATGATAAATTTATGAAATTTGAGAGAATAAAATATTGATATAACTAATAATTTAATTCAATCAAATATAATCGTTCCATGGGCTGCAAAGGTACAAAATTTACGAATGAAGACATTATCTAAACTCTTGAAAATCGTAGAAGGTATTTTATTCTTTATTTCTTATTCTGGAGACAAAGTAGAAAATTATTTCCATTAAATCATTCAAAAGCATATATTCATCGCTTATTCTTTTATAGGAGTGTAGAAACAAAGATAGATGACTATACCAAAAAAATATCACTAGAATCTAGTAAGTTGAAGGAACTTCAAGCAGAGTATACTCATTATGCATCATAGAATAATACTACCAAAAAAATTGAGATCACTTCAAAAGTGGCATCAATATAAAAAGTCAATGAAAGATAAAATACTTAATTAAAATTGTTACATTCTCAACTTGGATAATTGAAGTCATAAATTGACTAATTGAGAGCAAAGAAAATCGGGGATGACTTATATTTATCATAATAAGAAGCTGGAAAGTATCTTGATCCTAAATAATTCGCAAACCTATTGAATGGTATGAATAAAGAAGGAGAAAAACTTGATCAGATTGACTATATGACAAAAGAATAGCTTAAAAATGAATCTGATTCAACCTTGATTTAGGCAAGACTAGAAAGAGGTGATTTTTCTTGATCAATTATTGCCTGAAGCAAGAAGACTATAGTGTCCTTGTGATTTCATAACTATTTCTATTCAAATAATGATTTTAACTGGCTTGAATTATTGATTTAGATTGAAATTTGGTTTTTTATGTTCTGCTGACATTTTCAATTAAAACTAATTTTCAAATTAACTTTATAATATATATAATATTTCTACTAGTATAATACATTTACTTTCAAGAACATTTGATTCACACAATGGGCTAAAATGAAACAAAGGAGTAAAACCCTTATCTCAATGTTGATAGACTTCAAGGGAACTAAGATCTCATCAATGATTAGATCATTCAGAATGAAATAAAAATCCAAAAAATGAAGAACAGATTGAGTCATTATGTTGGAGATCTTGCGAAACTACAAGATGACTTTAATCTAGCAGGCTCTATCAACAATAAACCCCTTCAGGATTAAATCATTAATTAAACTCAAATTCTGCTGTAGGAATAAGCAAAAATATAAACATAGTTGAATCAAGCCATGATTGCTTAAGGTCATTTGAGATCTCACTCGTTAGGAATACAAAATAATACTATTGTTCAGGAGACCATGGAAGTAATGAAATAGACTGAGACCTACTAAAGTTAATAGGATATGAGAGCTTAGGAAAATTTCCTTCGTACTTAAGATATCTTGTCCAAGCAACAATTAAAGAGCAATTAACTCTATCTCAATCAGATGTAAGACTCGAAAGATGCTTCGAAGCTTTTGCAAAATAACCAGTTTGGAATTAACTAAAATCTCTCAAAACCCTAAGATAGTAATCAAAATCAGCAACCACAGTAATAAATCCAGAGAAATGGATAATAATAGAATAGCAAATCTAACCCTTAAGATCAAAGATCCTAATCAAACTAATTCAATTAAATCAATCAGTAGTAGTAGTATCAGAATCAAAATCCTATGCAATAATAACAGTAACAATTATAATACTCCTATCCACCTCAGATGTAACCTTAAATGATGCAGATGCCGATGAATTACAATCAAATGGTTCATCCTCAGGCATTTATGATTCCACCGCAAAATATTGGAGTTAATGTGAATTTCAATTAGCAGCCTGTCTCATAAGGAATCAAATAGTGAAAAAGTGTAAGTTCAATCATAAATTTACTAAATATTTCGCAATTCTGATATAAAAAACTCTTAGTTTTCTCAAAATTAGTTTTAATTCCTTGAATATTAAATTGATGAATTTAGGAGGAAGAGTAATTAGAGGAACATCGGGCAATGCTAAGAGAAAAAATCAGATATCAAGAAAAGCTTATAGAAGAAATAAATGGCTTAAGAGATTATCAGCAAGAGATGAAAGACTTAAATGATTGATATTATATAGATGGCATCTTAACTTGGATAAGTTTAAAATTAAATACCTTGATTCCCATTTTTATTTTCAAATTTAATTCTTTCAATTGCAAAATATCTAGACTCGTGGGGTTTTGGGGTTTTGGGGTTTTGGGG